AATGTTATTTGTCTTAGTTAATGAGCTCATTGGAAACTTGGAACTTGCCTTTACTTCTGCAGATGCTTCCTCTCATAAAGGCTTGTCATCCCATCCACCCAGCCAGTGCTCAAGATACAGGAGCATAAGGGTCCTTCACCTGAAGGTCATGCATACACTTTGGTGACTGAATTACTGTCATTGAGGGCTTGGAAACAGAATTACCATCCAGTTCAACTCTCCCTTTGGCCCAGCACTCAGACTCTTGCAGGCTGTCAAGGCAGTGTAGCTTGCCCAGCTGCCCTGCTATCCCTAATTTGTTTATATGCATAGGGCTTGCATCTCTAGAGATGCAGATCTGGCACTTTCCAAGGCATTTAACAGGTCAAATTATTTTATTGTAAAATAAATCTATGCAATTATTAAGAAATCCTTTGATCCCTGTCAAGTGAGATTCAGTAAAAGACACACTCAGGTATTTTTCTTTCATATATTATTTCTTGCCTCCTTCTGGTTTCGGATTCTAGAGGATATAGTGGTGGATGTAGTGGCTACCAGCAGTCAGAATATCATCAACATCTTGTCTCAAACTAAGAAATGTTGTTAAACAGTTTAGCTTATCAAAAACTTACCAGCTCTGGAAAACTTGAGCCAGTGAATTTATTAGGATCTTTTATTTACAGTTATCAATATAGCTATTGGTACTGCCTCAGCTGTAGTATCAGTGTTCAGAAGACATGCTCTACTGTAGAGACGTGTGATACCACTGGAGATTTCAGGCTGAGAGCCCTAAGGTATAGTCAGAAAGGAGATGCATTGCAGAGAGATCTAATGGAGGTCCCTCTGTCTCTTGTGCTAAATGAAGCATGAAACTAGTCTTCCCACACCGCACCTCTGTCTCCTTCTGCGAGCTAATGGAACAAGGAGCACATATCAGTCCATGATTTCAGCAGGGAGGGTTGCTGTATCCTCCTTGGATTGTACACTGTGTAAATGGAGCAGCAGTGAGGCAGTAAAGATGTGAGTGCGACCTGCTGCAGTGTGTAGGTGAGAGCCTCTGGGTGCTGTGCTTGGAGCTCGGGAGAAGCCAGCACGCTGGAGGAGAAAGTGCTCCTCCTGCTCAGACATGTGGCTCCTCCCAGGGGCTGATGTATGGGCAGGTGTTGGCATCTGCTTCAGCTCGTGGTTCACCACCGTGCTCTGAGAAATGATGCTGTTGCCTCTGTGACCTGACTGCTGCATGTTCCTTTTGCATAGCAATTTGAGAAGCTTTTTAAAAATCCAGCCTCTGTCAGTAGTGCGCTGCTTTGTATGCTTCCCTGTAGTTGCTAGTTATGTTTCATCTGTCTTCGAGTCTCTGCCTTCCCCCATGCACGCCTCAAGTTCAGGCTTCCAAACGTCATCTTCAAAGCTTTGCAAAACATAATCTGTAATCAGGCCTCTTTTCATAGTCCCCTCCTAGCTCTTGGACATGCTTAGGGTGCCTCGTAACCTATTTGCGTACCCTTTCATAATGCCAGTCTTATGCTTTTTGCTTCAACGTGCTTACTGAGACTGATGGATGGTCTTTGTACAGAGCCCACTCCTCTCCTTGGAATGCACTTAGTACACTTGAAGTCTTGTTAAGAACAAGAATGTGCTTTCGGATTTCCAGGGGAGTAAATCGGAGTAGCAAGTACGTTCTGCACGGGTGACTGCTGGACTTCCTTCTAGTTCTGTGGTTTGTTCCTTTCTTTCAGCGTGACGTATGAGGATCCACAGGCTGTCAAAGGACTAGCGTCTGCGCTGGACGTTCGAAAACAGAACACAGGAGGGGTATGTCATTGCTCTGCGTTTCGTTAAGTGAAGCTGTGTGTGGAATCCAAGCTGTAGGCAGCTGCTTTGACCGAGACTTCTCATTCCGTATTCCAGAGACATGCTAGTACTGGCTATTTTGAAATTGGTATCTAGGAGCAAGTGCTTGCTCGGTAATGATCTCTAAAGAGCTGCTACTTAGCACACCAGACTAAAAGACTTCAAAATTGTAGTGGGTAATTTCTCCTGTGTTCTTGCAGCTTGCCTGCGGGGTCCAGCTCTTTGACTGGAATCACTGCTGAAAAGAATAAGTGGGGAACATCCTATGAACACTGACGTGCATTTTTTCATTTGTTTTTGCTTACACAAGTTGTTGCAGTCTTATTCTATTAGACTCTGCTCGAAGTGCATGGATACACGAGCGAGTTGCACGGAGAGAAATCATGCCGACTTTTAATGCTTCCCATGCCTTGCCATAACTGCCCTTGCCTGCAGTCTGTTCTGTCTGTCCGAGGGCAGGCTCCTGCTGTCTTGAGTGGGCAGAAGAGGCCTGTGTGCTGTCACCTCGTAGCAGCTGATGCTAGAAATGCGTTTGAGAGCGCGAGCGTGGCCACCTTTGTCTGCATACCTCGGTGAAGGCAGAAGTGAAAAGAGCTTTCAGGTCATCCCTCAACCCCTTTCTAACACCCTGCTTTTTAAAACTGTCCTGCTTTTTTGTACTCAGCTGTGTGTTAAGTTTTTAGATGACAGAGCAAGTTCAGAGCCTTTTCCCAGTCTAATTTCAGTCTCTGCTGACCACCAGGGAGCATGGCAGAGCCAGTGTAGCATGGGAGAGCCAGTGCAGCGTGCTGCACCTCTCCCTCCATGGAGAATTGCCCCCTCCCCCCGTGCCTTGGCTGATCCCACCCTGGTTCTTTGATAAGTTGAAATGGGAGCACTCAGGGCAGCTGGCATGCCTGGCAGCTTGTGCTCCGAGCCAGGCAGAATTTGCCTTCGGAGCCAGCTGGGGTCAGATCACAGCTGCCTGTCTGCCTGGGCCATAGTTCAGTGGTAGCAGAGCTTCAGCAACGATTTCTTATGGAGCATCCCCCCACCCCACAAATCTATCTGCTCGTTCCTGTCCACCTGCAAAAAGGGTAATTTATAACCCAGGTCATCCCTGGGACCAGTTTCAAGCTCGACCCTGCAAAAACTCATGCCAGCAGTGCTGAGGGAAAAGGGGGAATCATGGGGAGGAAGGGGCAGAAGTATATTAAAGGGAGTGAGAGAGGAATTCCTGAAGCCAGTGTGACAACCCAAGCCCCCAGTATCACTGAGCTGTGTTATTGGCAGGACCTGGGAAAGGATTTGAGATTCTGCTCTTTGTTCCTGGCTAACCAAACGCGAGGGGCTTGCATTTAGCTACTGGTCAGGGGGGCCGGATTCCCCCGGAGGCCACGGGGTCATGTCCTTATTTATTAACACTTTTGTTCTCAGCTGGTTCTGCTTGAGGCACTGATGCAACGTGTTGTTCACACCAGCGTAGCTGCTGCTCTGCCTGAAGTGTTGTCAGTTCAAAGGGCTGTGTCTAAGCTAATCTGACGTCAAACTGGTTCCGGGCAAACGCTTTATGGGTTGTGGAACTTTGGGCTCTGAGATGTCGGGGAGACTTTCAGCCTCTTTTCAAAGGTCCTGATGACTCTATTGTGTAATCGGAGCAGCTTGTTTTAAATGCAGTTTTTCAGTAACTGGTAAACACTACTTTTTGTCAAGTGTTGTGAGGCTCGTGGGTGTCTCTTCTTAAAGGAAATAAAAATTAAACTCTCCTAAAGTTACCAGCCCCAGCATGCGTAGGAAAAAACTGGCAGTGCTCAGTAAATGAAAGACACGAGTTAATCTGGGTAGAGAGCTAATTTAAGAACAGCTCTAGGGAGGAGCCAAAAGCTTCGCAACACATTCTTCACACACGTCTTGTTCCAGCACAGTTGTCCAGTGGTAAAATTCAGCACATCCGACGTTTCTAATGTAGTCGTTCTCAGAACGGTCTGTAGAGAGATGGCTGGTCACGTGGCATTAGCTGTCTTTTAATATGATTTAGCAGCTGGAAACGAGACGAGCTAAAAATACACTGTTTTCTTAATATTGCTTTTCCATGTTGGGAATTGCTTTTGTTGCCACAGAGTTGTTGCGTGATCGCAACTGGGAGGAGAGGTGTCCAAGAAACAATTCTCTAGTGGTGCACAGATACTAGATGAAGTTGGAGTGATTTCCCCTCTTTTTTTTTTTTTTCTCAGCACAAGTGCTGGAATGAGACATAAAAGATTACAGCTGGTTCTCCGTTATCTGTGGTAATGGGGGCAGGAGAGGTATCCCACGTATACGGGTGTCTGGATGGAGGTACATAAACACTCCGGCGGTTCTCTGCTGAGCTGGCCCAGCCCTGGCAGGGCCAGCGGGCTGGAACCGCTGCACTCTGCCGATCCCGAGCAAGCCCCTCCAGAGCTAGAGATGACTCCGCATCCGGGCCCTGGCTCAGGGATGAGGTGCTGAAGGACAAGAAGCTGTCTTGAGAGTCTTTGCATTGCTGTGCCGTGCAGTCTGCAGGCTGCGCAGAGGGAACGGGATGCATCAGCGGCTCTTCTAACCTCTGCTGCTCTTGGAGAGGGGCAGTTTGAAAGACTGCCAGAACACTGCAGCAAACTGCCATTACTTACCCTCCTGCTCGATGCCATCATGAGAGCTGTCGGGCTGTTAGTCTGAGGCAGAGTCTGTCTGCTGAGATCAAGGAGGTAAATAGGGTGTGCTGCAACTCACAGCTTCATAAACACGGGAAACTCCACAGTGCGTAGTACCAGCGTTTCCAGTAAAGTCTGACTGATTTTAGTAGGTTGTATAGCCTACACTTCTTCTTCTAAGAAGATGACAAACATCAGCCTCACTACTAGTCAGTGATTTTTTTTTTTAATTTTATTTTTAATATCAGTGTGGAGGAAGTGCTAAAATTCTGTGAACTGTCTGTAGGAAGTGCAGAGGTCGGGTGAGATCTGTCCCTCCGTGGACAGAGCTGACAGGCAGCAGGGTGGGATGCAGCTGCTGCCAGAAGTTACCGTGGGCGACTCTGTGTGTGTATATGTGTATGTGAAGTTTTTAACTTGCTGCTGTTTATATTACTTTATCATGGGTTGTTGCTGTGGTTTCTCTCTTTATGGACCTTTCTGTTCTCAACACAGAGGAGAGGTAAAGGTGGGAACTCAGACATGGAGCCCATAGACAAGTGGCTAATTACACAAGGAATGGTGAGGACTTCACCAGTGAAGCGATTCCTACTGCCCACCCCAGTCCCTTTACCTAGAATAACCATCCTCCATTCACCTCTCGTCCTGCCCTACTGAACCACTTGAAATCAGACAGTACAAGGAGTTTATTTCCCACCTACATCATGACCTGGGGCGAAGGGAAAGATTTGCACCAATTTCGGGTTTATACAGCACAAAGGCCTGTAACCAACTGAACCATTTGTAGGATCCCACATCACCTTCAGAAGAGGCCTGGGAATCCAATTAGTTCCTTATACTGTCTTGATTTATTTATGCAGTATCCACTTTTCGAAGGATAAACACAAGTCTCATGGATCTTGTTTGTAAAGAGGACACTTTCTACGTGTCTTTAAAGCAGCCTGTCTGGTAGTGCTTAACTTCTTGGTCTGGAATAAACATACGGAGCTTGTAGGATCATACCTAATTGAGCTGAGTAATGTAGGGATAGTTCCATATGAAAGGAAGGGAACAGGAGAACTGCTACCCAGATTGACACCTTCCACCCCAGCCAGGGAATTACACTGGCATTAGGATCCGGACTCCAAAAGGTACAATAGTGTTTCTGGCTTTAAGGATTTAATTCCCATGTCTAGTGGTGCCAGTGCTCTGATAAAATCAAGCTTCTGAAGATCACTGAATCTTTGCACGCTTTGACCTTGTTTGAAGTTGTCCTTCATCAACATGCTTGCAGAGAGAAGTTCAAAAGCCTGCTTTAAGTGCAGAAGTCAGAGGTAGGTAAAAAAAAGCCTCAGCTATGCCTTAAAGCCAAGTTCTAAAACCAATTTTGTATTTTTGGATGACGTAATCCGTCACTTCAAGTGTTTGAGATTAGTACCAGTAATGTGACCTAACTGTATAAAGTCCTTCTGAGACAGTCCTGGCTGCAGCTGAGTTTGGAAAGGTGCGGTGCGGTGCAGAATTCCCTTTGGGCTGGGGTGCACTTGCAGTGCAGTGTGTGGGGCTGTGTGTCAGGAGGCCCATGGAATGGGAACGACTCGTTCCGAGGAGAGCCCTGAATGTCCTGGACGAAGCCTCTCAGTGCTTAAAAAGAGAAACATCCCAGAGGTTTTGAAGTGGAGAAAATCCAGAGTGTGTGATATCAGAGTTCACCAACTCTGTGAAACACTTTGCATTTATTCTTTTAGATTTAGGGCTAATCCAGATTATTTCTGAGGGCCAGCTTGTGAATTTGTCTGAAGTTTGCATGGCTGGTGCACGCACAGTGATGGGACACGTGCATATGTACGGTCATATCTGCTTGCCTGTGCAAGCACCCAAAAGCTGTTCTGTGCCTGCTGGCACACGTGGGTAAGCCCAGCAGTAGGTGCCTGTCCTTGGGAGCCAGAGTTTTGTTTCAGTGTTTGTCAGAGCCCCACAGCTCGTAACAAGAGAGCGAAAAGCTGTAAAGTGAGCGGCGTTTGCTTTGCCTCTGATACCGTGGACTGTAGTTCACAAAGGCTCTTGCCGTTCGGTGGCTGTGTTGCAGCCAGAGATGTGCTGTGCCACTGATGGATGTTCATCCATAATGAATAATCCAGTGATTGAGTTAGTTCCTCGTCTTCGCCTTTCCACTGTTTACAAGAGCAGGGAAGCATGAAATCGGCACCCCTGCTGTTCACACCACTCACACCACTGCTTTATTAAAAAAACAAACACAATATTCGTTCATTGGCTTGTGGTTATTCAGTCTGGAAAAAGGATACTGCAGCATTCATGGAGGCATAC